AACTTAAAACCTTCGGGATTAATCTCACGTGCCTTTTCTCCAACCCACTTAGTTTCTTGCATGCACATTATGCTGATATTCCTCCTCTTCATAACCTATCTCAGATGATCTCATAATTTTAAAAATATATTAATAAATTTATCTTGATAACTCAAGATGTGGACTTGTGTAAATAGTAGTTTATAATAACACAAATGCTGAAAGTTTACTTAACATAATGAACTATTAGAAAGACTGAAATAAAAGTTAGGAAACAAAAGAGTAGGATTAGGGGTATATATGATGTCATTGGGGTAAGAGGTGGGTGGGGTGGGGTTCAATGAAAGAGGAGATGTGGTTGATCGGACCAGATCAAGACTTCCCGGTCGTCGATCTAATCGGACCGAGACTATTTGGCCGTCAACCGGACCGGACAGGTATCGTTGGGTCGTTGACCGGACTAGACAAGGATCATTGGTTTGTTGACCGGGTTGGACCGCCGTGTTGTTGATCAGATCGAATAGGGACCACCGGATCGTTGATCGGATCAGTCCGAAACTGACACCGGAGCGGCACCGGATTCACTACTAGGCATAAGTATACAAAAACACGTTGCAGCGGCACTGCAACATCCACATTTTTCAAATTTGGAAACTACTAAAACTCACTTCTTCAATTCATTAAGGAAAACAGCGACATCTCTCATTTTTTGGTTTTGGAAAACGATTTGGTAAACACATTTTTCAGTTTTCCTTTCTACAGTTTTCAAACAATTTTTTCGGTAGACACTTTTTCTGTTTTCCTTTTTCTAATTTTCAAGTTTTCTTAAAAAACTGGAAAATATCTCTGTTAGTAACGAGTCCTAAATTGTTTGGTTAAATGATATTTTATATTGCAGATTTGGTGAATTACTTCAATTCACTTTGAATATTTTCTCCTAACGCAATAAATTTAATTATTACAACCTACACTTAAAGTAATTTAAATTTAAAAAATGAAATATTTTAATAATAAATAAAATCAAAACTAATTGAATTATGTTTAAGCAAAGTATGTTTAATTGCAAGAAGTTTTAGATCAAATACATAAATGAAAAAACCTTTGTTTCGATACAATTCTAGAAATATTTATCTATCATTTCAAAAAGTTTTCAATTTTGAAACCGTTCAAGTTATTCGTAAAAGTTGTTTTCAAATTAAAAAAGAATAAATTCCACTTTTCGTCCTACTAGTTTCAGGTCAATTCCACATTTAGCCCACATCTTTCACTTTGTCCACTTTTGTTACACGACTATTGTGTTTTCGCCCATATATGGTCCTTCCAGCATTGTTTCCGATGGTTAAAATCGCCGGAAAAGGACCACAAACGATTAAAAAAACATTAGTCAAGTTCCAAAGGTGGATAAAGTAAAAGACGTGGACTGAAGGTGGAATTGACACAAAACTCCTAGGACCAAATGTGGAATTAATTCAATTAAAAAATAATCAATTTTGCTATTAAATTTTGAAACACACTTATGAAAAATTTAAATAAGCTACAAGTCATGTAATATAAATACTTCTCAAAATTTAGATATTAAGGGAAAAAGAATAATGAAAATAACAAGAATAAACACGCGGATATAATTTAAAAAACATAATCCCTCCGTCCTATTTAAAGGTTGTCTCGCGATTTACTATATTGACTCACCACAAAATCAACCGATCATTGTCAATAATTAAATTGTTTTTAGTAAATAAATTTTACATAATCAGAAACTACATTAATTATTTTATGAAGTCACAAAAAAATCAAAATTCATAAAAGTTCGATGTATACAGTAAAATATTAAGAACACTCTACATTGACCAGAGAATAGTCCAAGATAAACCTTTAAGTGGGACGAGTCTATTGTCATGAGATGAAGAGAAAATATGGTGAGAAAACAATTAGCATCGAATTGAAGATGAAAAAGTCAAAAAGAAATTAAATAAAAAGAACTAATTAATTGGGGGTATTATTGGAAGAAAATCAAGACACTCCCGACTCGACGACTCCCAAGGATGTCACATAACCTAAGACATGAAAGAGTTAAACATTCCCCTCCATATTACTGCCACATCAGATTCATAGGAATGTAAATTTTTCAATTTTTTCTCACCCCCGCATACCAAACATGGACATGTAACATTTCTTGCATCACATTCTAGCCTTCATATGAGATTGCCTAAAATAAAACAGGATCTAAGGGCCCGTTTGATTCAAGGAACGTGAGATTATCATGAGAATGTCATATTGCTAGGTATTTTAGATTGATGAGATGTATTCAATTTGTATTCCGATTCCATTTGTATTTGTCTATTTGATTAAGATTAAAGTAATATGACATTAATTTGTTTGGTTAAATGATATCTTATACTGCAGACTTGGTGAATTACTTCAATGTCCTTATATATTCTCTCAACACAATACAGTAGTTGTGGTTCGGTACGGTATATCGAATATTTTCTCTCATACCTTTGATGTCATATCAAAACTTTCGGTATACAAAATGTACAAACCGTTATCTTACCGAAATTTTAGTATACTTTATTTCGGTATACCAAAGTTTTGGTTCGGTAACGGTGCGGTATCAGTAAATTACCAGACATGTCTCTCAATACAATAAATTATCATATACCATCGATATATACAAAATCGGTGTTACTAGCGACATACTCAATCCATTATTAAAATGTTACAAAATACATATAATAATCTATTGATGTCATATTCAATACTGAACAATAATTATTATTAGTATATTTAAGCAGTTCAACACGCCACATATAAAAAAACAACACATTCTCCTAATATAACTTAGACGATATAGATATAAGTAAATCAATAGCGATCTCTAACAAAAAATAAAATAAAATTATTCGAACAATATGAATGTAAAATCATATATCCCTAATATGATATTGTGTATTTATTCATTTTTATAATCTTAAAAAATATTGAATAGGGCTTTTGGTATAGCGGTATACCGGTATACCTTTTATTTTCAAAACATACACGGATACCACAACCAAGTAATTCTGTACGATACCACACCATACCATACCGAAAATGTCGGTATACCTAAAATTTCTGTAAATTCATTATTTTTCGATATGATAAATGCGGTATACCGAAATTTCGGTATTTCCCCTCAGCCCTACTTATTACAACTAGAATGTTTGCTACTAACAGATTGATCCCGTTATCCAAGAGAACTTGGTGACAATTAATTAATTCATTTAGGAGAAGAAAATTAATGTTTGATCATATTTAGGGAACATTAGAGATTGACTCATATTTAAGGAAAAGTTGCATGTTATGTTTTAGGAGAAACTAATTTAAATACCCCAAACTTTAATGATGTGTGAGATAAATACCCCAAACTTGGATATGTAATATATATACTCCGAACTTTACAAATACAATTTATTGAAACAATTTCTTAATAATTTAAAATACTCTAAGCTTTGTGAGAATGCAGTTAACATTCTAAAATTTAATTTGTGAAATGAATAATATTACATCCGTTTAGTTTAATCTTAATTGCATCATCATAAAGGTTTTATTATTTTAATTTATGAACTTAAACCTTAAAATTGTATTTGTAAAAAATATATGATCATGGTGTTAACATAACTTTTTACATAAAGTTTGGGGTATATATATCACATGTGCAAGTTTAATGTACTTATATCACACCCCTTCAAAGTTGGGATATTTAAAATATATTACTCTATAATCTATATTTTACTTCTACTAAAGACAATTAATTTTGAATAAATTAAGTTCAAATGTATACATGTTGTATTTCTTAATCCAAAAGGGGTGAGTTCGAATGTTTTCTTTTGGATTGTTTTCAGTCCCAGACCAGACTAGACTTAAACAGACACGACCAGACCAGGTCAGATTTAAACAGACCAGACTAAACGAGACTTCAATATTTATAAAATACACAGAGATCGGACATTTACTAGACCAGACCAGACTAGTTCAGACATGACCAGACCAAACTTAAATAGAACATGTCAAACCAAACCAGCAAATTTCAGTCCAAAAGAAAACATCTTTCCTTTAAACAAAAATCTATACGGATGGGTTAAGAAAAAATAAAAAATAAATATGCTATTTAAACCATTATGATTAAGAGAGAAGGGGTACTTTTGGAATAAAATTTATTGCCACCGAGGAATGTTGTAAGACAACCTAAAAGTTAAGTGTGTTTGAGATTACGTGCTATCTATCATATCACATTCCCCCAAAAAATTCGAACCCACGAACCAAACCCAGATATTTCACATTACGAACATCAAATTCTAATCTGAATAGATGACTAAGTCGAACCAAACACGCCATAAGAGTTAAGAATAATGTGATTGTGACTCTTGGTACATCACATTGAAGAATGGTGAAGGAAGATAAAGATATTTTGAATTAAATAGTTTCGTTTCTAAATTAGATCATACTTAAACAAACCGAATCAGATTAGAACAAAATAAAATAAATCAGACTACACTAATAGTTATAAAATACACATGAAATAAATATTTAACCAATCTAAATTAGATTTAAACAAATGAACAAGAACAACATCCAAGTCTTAACCACATAAGATTTTGGTGTTAGATTTAAACACATCACACCAAAAAAATTTGAAAATAAATTTGAAATTGAAAAATGTTTTGCGAGAAACTGAAAGAACATGAGTAGAAGCCGTACTACTTCACAACTACGGCCGCTTCTGTTGCTGCTGGCACAACCAGAAGTGGTTCTTAACTTCATACGGAGTAAATGTTTGTCACAATTTTTTCGTATATATATGCCGTAACAGTTCTCCAACAGATCTCAACATAGGGCCCGGGCCCGCCTTGCAATGCTGACCATCGTTTGAATGTGATGGCATATCTGCAATTAAATCCAAGAACCAAGGGCAAACCATTCAAAGCCACTTCTATTATGCGATAGTTAAATTAAATTCAAAATCCTAACCGAATCCTTTCCAGGTGAGCAGTAGAAGCGCAACTATCTGATAATAGTAAAGATGTTATCATAATCAATTCAAAACTAATCCCAGCACTCATATATTGATTCCTTTCAAATAAAGGGGAATAATTGATAAAGAAATTCGTTTACTTTTTTCCTTCCAACTTTTCTATCTGGTGCCCGTTTTGGAGTACTGGGCTGCTGCTCTACTTGTGTGCTTTCTTCCACCCTCCCACCCCAACCCCACCCGGCCACCCTATCTCTTTCTCATTGTTTTTATTAGCTTATTGTCAAAAAAATATTCGGCCCCTTTCTTTTTTGGATTACCCTTCCTTCTTTCTTCAGTTTTTGATTCTTTTTGTGTGTGAAGAAGACAGTGGAAGAGGAATAGTTTATAGTGGTGAACCATCTGGCCACCTCAACAATGTCAATGGCAGATATTGCTCACCCTCCCATGGAGCAACTCCAAGACCTTGAGTACTGCATAGACTCCAATCCTCCATGGCGTACTCCCTCTCCCTCCCCCCTCTATCTGGATGTATACATTTTGTTTTCTGTCACTGCTTTCCATATGTGGGTCACTTGATGTCAGTAGCTCTCTTCTAATTCCAATCATTTATTTATGGCATTCTTGGTTGAAAAAAGAAAAAAAAAACTGATTTTTCCCAAATGGTTTTACTTCTTCTGGAATCTTTATTGATGCATGGCATTCTGTTTCCGCGTTCTATGTTGAATTTTAGCACAGAGGGCATACGATTGAGCTTCAAAGATTCGATTTTTCTGAAACCAATTTGTAGAATGTGGCACATATATATTTTTTAAAACTAGAATTTAAAATTAAAGATTATAAATTCTCGGGTGCTTGAGAGTGGGAATGTAGGAAGTCATCCCGATTTGCCTTTCATTTATTTTTTACATATTTCTCTGGCTAATGTGAAAGTTATGCTTTTGTGATATAAAGATTGGTTAAATTTTGAAACTTTTTATTTTTATTTTTGGAAGAGTTAAATTTTGAAACTTTGAAAAGCTTCTTGTGGCCTTGATGGACCGATGACTTATGATAAAAGGTCTAAATGATCACATGATCAGTGGTTTAAAATGCGCTATAGGCTCTCAAGAAAGGATTAGACAGGATCTAGTTGTGCTTAGGTAGGTTAGGTGAGGATTATGAGAATAGTGGGCTCTCAATCACATAGTGTGCTCCCTACCAGCTTTTGTTGTAGTACCTAACATATATGATTCAACTGGAAAATTTTCTATGTTTTTCTCTTAACAATGCTACAATGGCTCTCGCACGTGTTCTTGATGTTATATATGGATTTTTATCTGTTGCAGCTGAAACCATAATGTTAGCATTTCAAAATTACATATTAGTCCTTGGGACAAGTGTGGTGATCCCTACAACGCTTGTACCACTCATGGGTGGATCCGATGTAAGATTACTCAAATGGAACCCTAAGTTTGAAGTTTAGTTTTTGCAAAAAAAAATCGTTCATTCCATATTTTAATGTTTAAATTCCTAAGGGGGACAAGGCACGCGTGATACAGACGTTGCTTTTCGTGGCGGGAATAAACACTCTTCTACAAGCACTCTTCGGGACCCGATTGCCCGCCGTTGTTGGAGGATCGTTTGCATATGCCATCCCCATAATATATATTATCAGTGACTCGTCCCTTCAACGAATAAGTGAGCCTCATATAGTAAGTCCAATTTAAATAAGCATATTTACTTCGATCAATGGCTATCGTTTGGGTTTTTCTTAAAAGGTGTCCCGTGATCTTTTACTTATGGGTAAGTGCACTGCAGAGATTTATACAAACCATGAAGGCAATTCAAGGAGCAATGATAGTTGCTGCAAGCATTCAAATCATCCTTGGCTACAGCCAAGTTTGGGGTCTCCTTTCGCGGTATGTTATCATCACAGTGATCAAGTTTCCATGTATACACTTGACATTGATATTACTGAGAGTGCAAATTTATTTAATTTTCAGTTTCTTCAGTCCTCTTGGTGTTGCACCTGTTGTTGGCTTAGTTGGCCTTGGCCTATTCCAGAGAGGATTTCCTGCGGTATGTTTAAATTTAAATTCGTCCAACAACATATAAGAGCCAAAGCATGCGGAACCTTTCCGTCTAGGGCAATGAGGTTCAGTTTTCAACTATTGGCTATATGTGGCCATGAAATCTTAAGTCATCTTACACCGAAAAATACATACTACAAACTCACAGACCTTGATCTACTCCTATTAGCAGTATTAGGTTGACCTTTAGAATAAATCCCAAATCTTAATAAGTTGAAAGCTCTTGTATTTGAAAGTATTTGAAAGCTCATGTATTTGAAAGCTCTTTTACTTTTATATTTACACAAAGTATAATGGATTCTTGGGGAGAAGTGGCACTATGGGGTTGTTAAAAAAACCATGTAGTCTCTTTTAGGGTTAAGTTAGGTCAGAGTTTTTCTTAACTGATGAATATTCGGTCTCCAATGTGTTGTTTGGATCCATTTTCTTGCAGCTAGGGAATTGTGTCGAGATAGGGCTGCCAACGCTGTTATTGGTAATTGGTTTGTCACAGGTAAGTGTGGTTCCACTAATTTGAACTAACGATCATTGCAACTTTTCCAAACATCATCATCATCATTACCCTAGTGCCTCAAAGGCTACCACCTACGGTGGGGTAAGGGGGGTCGGATGTACGCAGTCTTACTCTTGTACTAAAGCACAGAGAGACTGTTTCCGAATGACCCATAGTGAAAATCGCGTCGAAAATTGCATAGACTGACTGATACTTCATAACAAAGAAGCACGGACAGTTTAGTGAGCCATTTTTGCTTTATTCCATCATATTCTCAAGCCAAAAAATAGTGAGTCTTTGGCTTCATTGAAAATGATGGAATATTGCAACTTTTCCAAACAATGTTTAAAAATTAAAAAGGGGCGTTCACATTAGTGGTAATATTTATGCTTCTTAAATTGCAGTATCTAAAGCATGTAAAACCAGTGAGGGACTTCCCCATATTCGAACGGTTTCCTATATTGATATGTGTCACAATTATGTGGATATATTCCACCATTCTGACAGCTGGTGGAGCATACCGAGGCAAGCCTCTTCACACTCAACTCAGTTGCCGTACAGATAGAGCAAATATCATATCTACTGCTCCATGGTCTGTTTGACGTATTTGGTTTGATGGTAATTTTCTCAATGTGTATAAATAATACGGAGTACTAACCTTTTAGCTAATTATCATATCAGGTTCAAGTTCCCGTATCCGTTGCAATGGGGTGCTCCCACTTTTGCTGCAGGCCATTCATTTGCAATGATGTCTGCTGTTCTAGTGTCAATGGTCGAGGTAATTTCTCCATTTTTGGCAATTTAAATTTGTTTACATCCAAATTTTTTAACCTGTTTTTAATCATGCTGAGTGAACGACACTGCAACATGCATATAGTAATTTATTTAGTTTTAAATCGTGTAAAGAGTCTTGTGCCAGCATCATAAAGAGTAACATATGGTTTTGTTTATAACGACTTTGGATAAACTAGCTTATCTGTTGGATTCAATCTTGTAGTCTGGTTTGACCCAAGGGCATTGTGATCCAATTCATTGACCCAAACCAATCTTGAATGTTGTCACACAAAATGTACATTTGACTTAACTATTCTGTGCAGTCAACTGGTGCATACCAGGCTGCATCTCGTCTGGCGATCGCCACTCCACCTCCAGCCTATGTACTTAGTCGGGGGATCGGTTGGCAGGTGACCTCATCTTAATATCTGCTTAATGTTACTTTTTCCTATCATTACATAATAAACTTTTTAAATTTCTGTAAATATCTAAATATTAAGTCATTCCATATTGAACAAGTAAATGGATTTGAGGTTTACAATGCTGGATGGAACCAAAACTTTAATATATCTATATATCTTTGCAGGGGGTAGGTGTTTTGCTTGATGGCCTTTTTGGAACAGGCACCGGGTCCACTGTATCTGTGTAAGATCAAGATCCTCGAGAGCCATCCAATTATTTAAATTTTGATATTCAGCTTAGTTCAGATAAATGAAGCTTTTTATAGCTTAACTTTTGATTTCCCAATTATTTATTTCAGGGAAAATGTGGGACTCTTGGGACTTACTCGGGTTGGAAGCCGAAGAGTTGTTCAGGTTTCTGCAGGCTTCATGATATTCTTCTCCATGTTAGGTTTGTACGCATTGCTTCTTATACTTATGCATATGTATGTATTACTCATTAGCTTGAATGCTTGGTTCTCTAAACAAGACAAGACAATAATGTTAATTACAATTCTTGCAGGCAAATTTGGAGCTGTTTTTGCATCTATACCTTTTGTCATATATGCAGCATTCTACTGTGTCCTGTTTGGCCTTGTAGGTATGCTGTTTTATTTATTTTACGAGCTCATTTGTTAAGACTAATAATATGCTGAAATTGTATAAGTTACGGCAAAATATTTGAATTATGAAAATATTATTTAAATATTCCTCCCCTCCTTGAAAGTTGAAAGAGCATTTCAGGAAATCAAAGAAAAAAACAATTTTCTTAAACTCCGTAAAGGGCAAACCATGAATTTCTTTAAGGGATGGAGAGTATTAACCAATTCTGTCTAGTTTCTCCTCTCTCTCATTCTCTTTTGTTTATTAAATTATATACATTGGTTGCGGATCATATGAGAATCATTAGTTTAGGAGACAGATGGCATTGTTGCAATTTCATTAATATGTGATACTTTCACTAAGCTTTACAATCTAGAAAATTATTTCTCTTAATATAATAACTAAATAGTCATTGATGATGAACTAAGTGTGCAAGTCAAAAAGAAAAACATGATGGCAATTTCATAAATAAGTGGAACTTTTATGTTGCATGCCCCCACAACTATATGAGCGTATGAGTGGTGAACTATCATGGATGTGTTGGTAAGATGCAAAGTGATTATTTTATAGATATTACCCGAAATAGGACTAAAATAGTTTGAAAATTCCAAAATAGGACTGTCATGTTTTCATTCCCAAAATAGGACTAATTACTGCCATGTTTTGGCAGTACCAGACTTCAAATATGGCAGTATTTTCCAAACTTGGCAGTAATTACTCCTATTTAGGGAATAAAAACATGACAGTCCTATTTTGGAATTTTCAAACCGTTTTAGTCCTATTTCGGGAATAAAAACATGACAGTCCTATTTTGGAATTTTCAAACTGTTTTAGTCTTATTTCGGGAACTTTCCCATTATTTTACATGCGAAATGCAGTGATATAACTAATTTATATCGTTTTGTTTGATCATTTAATGTATAATGTAAGAGAAGTTAAAACATTTCACGTTGTACCACGTAAATTATAGAATAGTAAAAAACTTTACATGCTTTTTGTAAAGTAGTGCAACTACTTGACATGCAATTTAAAAATAACTCATACACCTAACCAAACAATGTATTTTTAGTGTATATTCAAAGTAATTACTTTCCTAAAGTTTGTAATTAGATGTAAACTTTTAATCTGCACTAACAAACGAGCCCTCAATGTGCATAATTGGCACCTGACTTTGTGGTTCTCCACTGATCCGACCATTGTTATACATTCATATTACACTTCGGTCACATTCTAAATGTGTGATTCAATCTGGTGCAGGTTCGGTCGGCCTGTCATTCCTTCAGTTTACAAACATGAATTGCATGCGTAATCTGTTCATAACGGGCCTCTCGCTATTCCTTGGGATATCCATTCCTCAGTTTTTCGACCAATATTGGTCCGGGGCCCGCCACGGCCTGGTTCACACCAATGCTGGATGGGTACAGTTCATTCTCAAGTCATAAGAATATTACTACAGAAAATTCCCTAAATAGGACTGAAAGAAACAATTTTTACCTTGCCGTTGTTTCTCGCAGTTCAATGCATTTATCAACACTATATTCTCCTCACCGCCAACAGTGGGGTTAATCGTTGCGGTGTTTTTGGACAACACTTTGGACGTGGAAAAGTCGAAGAAAGACAGAGGCATGCCATGGTGGGTGAAGTTCAGAACATTCAGAGGCGATAATCGGAATGAGGAATTCTACACTCTGCCCTTTAACCTCAACAGATTCTTTCCACCCACATAGTAGGCCAAGTAAAGCTTTGACTGTATGGAAATCTTGGGCTTACAACATAAAATAACAAACTTTATATTTTTGGCAATTGAATTCACATTCAATTAACATGATGATATGCAGTAGTGCTTCATTAACCTAAATTATTGATTCTTTTTTGGTGGGGGGCATATATATGTAATAGCAAGGTCTCAAGATCGTTAGGATTGTAGAGCACTTGAGATCTTTGTGAGTTCATATCCTTTGTAGGATTTCAACTTCCATATATATTTTATTTATTATGAATAAGATAGATGTAGAGCTCTTGATAAATTATTATTCAATGGGTCTTTTATGTAATTTACATACCTCGGATGATAAAGGATTCGTGGGCCGGCTTATTTGATCTTTCCCCTGTGTTTTCTTGTTTTTCTGTACAAATGTTGGAAAGATTGGACAATGTGCTGGAACCCGGGCTGGTAAAAGGGTCGATTTTTTTCATTTCTGTACCAGAATCAGTACCGGAAAATGTTCCAAACCGATTCCTAGAAAAAGCTTAGGGTCTGTTTGCAATAGCTTCTGCTTCTAAAAAAGTGCTTTTTTTAATGAAATGAGGGGAAGTGATTAAATAAAAGTTGATAGTGTTTGAGAAAAAAGTGATTTTGAAAAGTAAAAGTGGGTAGTGTTTGGTAAAATAAGTGCTTTTTGTGTAATAGAAAAAGTAAAAGCACTTTTGACGCGGAAGCCGAGAAAAATAAAAGTTGTAGTGTTTGGAAAAATAAGTGCTTTTTAAAGCCAAAAGCTGAGGAGTGCTTTTTTAAAAGGAGTTGCAAACCAACCCTTAATATATTGTGTATTGATTATTGATATAAGGAATTTTATTAATATTGGACCTAAAAGATAAGTCCCCTTTCAATAGGGGATTTGAAAGATAATGTGTATCGATATAGAGTTCGAATGATTGAAAACTACGTAGTATCAATTTGACACTTCAAATTTCATGAATTTTAATATCTTTTATTTTAAAGAATGAAATATTATTAAATCTCATAAAACTAATAAACTTTTATGAAGAAAAATCATCAAAAATTAGCTATGGAATTAATAAAAAAAAATATAGATCAAAATCTATGATATTTTAGGTCTTAGATTAATAGTTTTCAATCATTCAAGTCCTATATTGACACATTTTAATTTTCATCCCTTATTGATAATTGACTCATCTTTCAAGTCCTGGATTGACAAATTTCCTTGAAATAGTAAAAAGTTGAGTCAAATAGGTTTTCATATACTCATAGTATCTCAAATATGTCAATTAATTCCTCGTACCAAAAATTGATCACCCAAACCGTTCAAATATGCAATTCCTTCATTTGGCCAATTTGATTCCCGTTGCCTAAACCCTTATTGATGTGGTTATTATTTATCCTTCAATTGTTGAGATGTCACACATCCATGTCATCCTTAGAGCATCTCCTATCATGATCTCCGATTCTCTTACTGTGTAAAGTCCATATGTGAATATTGTGATAGGTGTGTTGGGGTATTGGGCCTAAAGCTAGACTAGCCCAAATACCGCCAAGATGCTATGAACGTTGTTGCGGTATTCCAATCAGGATCTTCGATTCTCTTACTATGTTGTGGTACGAGGGATTCATCGTACACGCTCGGCACGAGATCAGGCCTGAGCGGGATACCCAACTTGGACAGGACCCCGGACGAGACGTGACACTTAGTACTTTCTCTGGCTTTCTCGCAACAGGCTCCTCTTCATCAATGGATAGGCAGGAAATCACAATTTTCCAGGAAAAGGCATTTAATGCACCATATATAGAGGATTTTATGATTGGGGCTTAAAAAATTGGGACTCACCACATCACCTCCCCCACCTACTAGCTTCCAGTATAAGTATTCACATCTATTTCATTGTAAATACTTGACAAAGTTACATTTAATAGCTTAGACACTCTGCTTTCTCGGTAAACTTTCATCTTAGAACTAGAGGATAGGGGTTCGGGTTCGGTAAGTGTGTCCCCTAATAGAGTGCAACCTAACATACTTTACCTTCTTTCTTTGATTACTTGCTTTGTACCACATAGATTCTCACCCGTGCGATGCACGGATGAAAATTTACTAATGTGTAATTAAGAAGTCTATTATAAAAACGCAAAAAAATGGACTCAGAATAAAACGGTAAGTAATATAATAAGTGTTCGTTGTTAAAAAGATATTAAAACTTCGGTGAAGAAGGGAAAATCTAAATATTACAAAAGAGATATAACATTTGAAAGTTCAAAGACGGTGAGTAAAATAATAAGTGTTCACAGTGAAACTACAAATTTTGAAAAACTTCTTTGTAAACAACATTAGAAGTATGATCGATCTGTTGATCTTACTCATCACAGATCAATATTTTCCATCCTTTGCGATTGATAATGGTTGACACATAAATCAAAATTCAATACACATCTTAAATTAGATAAAGACAATGCCCTAATAAAAGGAAGTGAACTCACACTGATAAATTGTGTTGCATTTGTAATTAAAAAACAAACTTGTTATTCCAATAATATATATATATATATATATATATATATATATATATATATATATATATATATATAAATTCAAATTGGATACACTTCTTAATTATTTAAAATCAATATCTTAAAATCTATTACGAATTATTACTAAAAAAGGAAAACAATGACTAATACTACGTAAAAAACAAAAATTAAACACTTTCGGATATGACTAAAATGAAAATTTTAACAGCCTAAGAATCAAGCCCAATAGTTTATAGGTTTAGTTGGACCCGTTCCAGCCTGTTATGACTTATGATCCAACAACCCCATTAATTAAAATATTGATCCCTAAAGCTACCCAACCCAACAACCTATCAACCCAAATTAACCCAAACAATAAATATCTAGCCCCCCCTTTCAGCTTCCGTACATCTCATTTTCTGGAGAACTCATCGGTTACACCTTAGACCGATGGTTTCCAGAAGTTGCATCGCCGTTCATACTCCGTACATAAGCTAGTCCCTCTACTCCTTCGTCTAGTCTTTCTTCATTACGGGTTCGCCGGCTGTATGAAAAGTTCGGTTGGGTGTATAGACGGATGTTGAGCGCCGCTTATCATTTGTGGATTTAGCATCTCGTCCGACCAATTTGAAATGCATACTGGCTCTCTCCCAGTCGTGGTTTGGTATTTTATCTTTTCTAAATTTTCTCCTCAAACTTTTCTATGCCTATCAAAAGTTAATGTGTACTGTTTTCCTAGTTTAATGTTGTTCATTTGACCGAGTGCTATCTTAATTTGTTTGAGCAAACTCTACTTTTTTTGGAATGTATGAATGAAATGCAATAATCGATATCAGGATTTTGACCAACTATTTTGAAACTTTTTTACAAAGATTTCTAAATCTGTAGATTTGTTTATTGTTTGAGGATAGAAAAATCATGTTGGTTAACCGTTTGGTGGCCAGATCTGTCAAAACATCAGATTTGTGTTTGGTGACCTATGAACATGATTTTTTAAAAATAGGTGTCGGCAAAATAAATCTGTTATTTGGAGTGACAAATACGAACTATTATCTCTAAATATTGAGATTTATTGTATAATTTGTCATACATGAAATTGGCTTTAGACATAAAACAAATCTTTGGGTTTTCCCCTCCGTTTGATGAGTTTGTTATGTTGAAGTTAACATGAGTAGTACCTTTATATTCTGTCATGTTTAATATGTTTTAAACTGGTCAAAATACTATAATTATCTTATATTATTTTGATTTATTTAAATTTATATAATTTCTACTCAGTATAATCTATATCTATAATACTATAATTCTATTATTCTATAATCTTTTCTTTGAATACTGTGACTGCCTCCTTACCCCTTATATACTATATACTGTATTTAATGAATGCTTAATGAATATAATCCCATGTAATATAATTATACTTATAATAATATAACATGTCTTATATAAACTATATTAATACTATATACTGTACTTAGTGCAATGTTACTACAATACAAACTGCTCCTTACCCTTACTATTATTCATGTCTGCAATACAAATTATATATCAAGCATATTTGTAAAACATACTATATACTCGTGCAGAATGTAATAGTTTTAGTTGGTGATACCAAGCTTCTATAAACCTAAGTTTTCCAAATTTTAAAAACGGCAAAACAGTATTCAAATGAAGCTTCTTATAAATTTATTTATGTTTTAAACAAATGATGTAATTATTTTAGTATTTCAACTTATACAGATTTATATCTATATACATTTTCAACAAAAATGAAATTATTTCAACCATATTGAACTGTAGTTTAATATATATACGGATTCTATTTATGTATGTATAAATCTAAGTCTATATAGTGCAGATTTTGAACTGTATTTGCACTTGCACACATATATACCCACTCAAACAAAACGTGTTTGTTTAATGACATTATGTGCCCAATTCCAAACTCCAAGTTGAAGACATTCTTTTTTAAAACCCCTATGATTATAATTCTTATTTAAATACAATGTATTGAAAATGTTTGTGTTTATTAGTACTTCTTGGTGAGGCTGAATACTGTTTTTTTCACAAACTGTTCTTATACGAACTGTTTTGAACAATGTTTTAATGAACTACCGTTGTTTGTAATGCCCAATAAGTAATTGCTTGTGTTTCTAGCACTTGATCGTAGGGCCTCTAGTTTCCCAACAGAAACACTTCATCACACCTTCATTTAAGTGGTTTTGTCAACCTCCTCAACTTTAGAATGAGCTATAATACATTTTTAAAAGCTTACTTCTACATGATTTGCATTACCATTTCTGT